TGAATAAGTAAATAAAATCTTAAAAAAAAAAAAAGTTCTTATTTTATATTATGAATATTTGAAGGTCTCTATCAACTTTGTAATTTCTTATTTATTTGTTGAAGTAATAATCCTATGTATAATTCCTGTACACACACAAACACTCTACCTTTGTGAATTCTACCATCGGACTCAGCTGCTCCCTTGGGAATAACGGCTTTCACATAAATGCCACCATGTCGGACACTGGTATTCACACCTCCCTAAGTGGAAAAAGGCAAATAAAGTAACATTTTGTCATATGGAAAATTTCACACTCCATCTTTCAAATCTGAGACCTAGAAAGCAGGAAGTTCATCACCCAAAGCAGCAACACATCAGCACATGCAATTAATTCAAAACCCAAGAATATTTCTAGCCAAGTTTTCCAAATGTAAAACAGTTACTCTAGAAAAACTCTTTACTCAGAAAACAACACGCCAGACCTTGACTATATGAATCGCTCTCCCTTTCTAAGTCTACACCATGCATTATGAGCAAGCAGAAAACAAAATCCATCTATGCGAAATTAGTATGAGAACATGACTGTCAGGAAAAAACAGCATATAGAATAATTTACGTCAGATCATATTTGCTAAACTGCAACTTGCAAATCTATGAGTCAAGGAACTTTTTTTTTCATTTTAAAAGGCTTTGGTAGGTTAGTTTTGTTACACTGTAAATGAGATCTAATTGAGTAGATTCTCTATCTCTTGTGGATGCACAGCTTTTATTTCCCTTCACAAAATGAAGATAATAAAATTCTAAAGAAGTCAAGGGCAAGAGGTAAAGAGTTATAATATTTTTAAAAGTGCTTGAAAATTAGGTTTTCTTTTTGACCTCTATGTTAATAGTGCTATTTCTACCATGTTTTAAAATGACTTTTCCTAACTAACAATATCCTTCAAATGTCATAAATGATAATGTTACAATTTAGAATTAATAGAATAGAATTCTAAAGTATTTTCATCAAGTAGCCTATGCTCGTATTTTAAGACTGTAAAAGTATGTATGTTCCTTGGGAACCTCTAAGCTTAATATAGTAGTCATGTTTACAATTAAGATATATTATGGAGAGAAAGGGCATGTAAATATACATTAGAATTTATTTATGATATAGGTTAAAACACATTATTCGATGCTCACGCAGAAATGTCAAATGTATGCAAAACATACTTATTAATTTTGTATTTTTTTAGTCTTGTATTCAGATTAAGCACTATGAAATCTATGGGGTTTAAATAAGTAGCATTTGTCTAATTTCTTTTAAACCACAGGAAAAATCATTAGCACACGTTTTTTAAAAAAGTTTTAAGATGTAATTTAATTTTTAATTTGGGAAATATTTGACAGGTTTCCCTTTTGAAGCAAAATAATTAAATTAATAAATTGGCATATAATAGGCTGCTGGAAATGGAGAAGAGAAAACATTTGAAAACCTTGTCAAACAGTACCGTGACACTTATCCCCAAGCTGTTATCATTTTTAGCCAGTTCAACCTCAAAGATATCTCCAGGTTTAGGAGGTGATGAAGGAAAAGTTTTAAAATTCATTTTGTTGGATGTATTCATTGAGGAGGAAGATTCCTTAACAAAGAAGAACAAACAAAAGGATTTCTTGTTAGAGTCAAAATGAATTACTACTGGAAGATCAGTATGTGTTTTTTGGAAAAATTAAGGAAAAGCAAGATATTAAGGGATAGAGTAAATTCAAAGATCATGAGGGCTGGAAGCCATCTCAGAGATCACCTAATCCAATGCCTTTATAGTTGATGGCTGAGGAAATTGAGGTCTAGAGATTAAAGGGCTTGCTTCAGGTCAAACAGCTAGATAAGGCAGAGGGAAGCCCAGAGCCCAGTTCAAATCTGGCTTTTACATAATCCTTGTCCAATGTTTTTTATGCTCCCACATTTAGAAAGTATTTCTATTTCCTTTAAAAATCAATATATATCAAGTAGCAGCTTTCAACTGGGACCTCTAAGATGATTAGGCCTCATGTTTACTTTGCTTATATTTACAAATCCAATATAAACACAGGCACAACAGCTTAGCCCCATTTGTAAGGGCACAACCCTCTTATGAGGAATGTTGGTTCCTCGGTGAATAAATAGCTTAAGGTTCTTTTCTGAATCCACTTGTGAGTATGAGTTTACATTTATATCATTTCTAGGAAATGAGCAATTTTGTATGTTGTTGTTCTTATTATTTTCATATGTTCAGAACTTCACAAGAATTTGGGCTATCAACAGTAAAGTCAACTGCCCATTATACGAACTATTTAGGAACAACTTTTTCAGATATTAAATTCTCTTATTAATATAAACATTAAGTATGCAAGACACAACTTGTAGAAAATATCATAACCTGATTATTCATTCCTTTCTGTAATCAGGTTGCAAATTTCCAGAATGATAGCCATTTTAGAGTTAGTATTCAAAGCTGCTAATTTGTCTGAAAGTTAGCATCAAATGCAGTAGCAGTTAGTAACACAGTACATAAAGTATTCCTCCTTTCCAGAATAACATAAGCAGTTTATAGTAGATTATTCTGCTCTGTAATATATTTGCTGTTGTCTGCTTTATTAAATGAAAAGAAAAAAAACCCAGAGATTCAAATTAAACTATGCCTTTTTTGGTGTATGATGATCCTGACTGCTGGAATAAGTAGCTTCATCCATGTCTGAATCTCCACGGTCAGAGTAATCTGTTGCATCAGAAATGCCTGTTTTTTTAGTTTTGCTTCGATTACTGTCAGTAGAAGTCCTCTTCTTCTCAGTGGTCTTGGATATCACGGAAGGGGAAGGGCTGCCGTGCTGTGATTCCCGCCAGGTTCGGTCACCTACAGGGCTGGCAAAGAAACCATTGACCTGGCTCTGGGACAAGCTGGCGCTTTCAGTCCTGGAATCCTGAGAACTCAGGCTTCCTTCCCGCAGGCCCCCAGACAGCCCAAAGGAGCTCTCTGAGATGTGCCTTGCGGTACCATGTGGCCAGCAGTGATCTACGGAAGAATCTATAGCACTGTCTTGAAGGAAGGAAGGTTTCTTCATGTAGTTTTTCATGCCATTGGCAATGTGCACAGGAGTAGAAGGCCCTAGAAGTCAAAATCCATCAAGGAGAATAACAGGTTAGTGACACCCATGCTGTGCTTACATACTTGCAGAGTCTTTCGTAATGACTGTGGGAAGATTTTACACAGGTAACATATTCACAACACCTGATCCAGGGCCTGGAGCCAAAATGAGGACCCGACAAATGCGGCAGGTGCTTTCTGTTTCCTTTGCCCCCTCTTTTGGTCATTCCTGTTGCATCTTCTATAAAAATGCATACACCCCTGCCTTAACTCCCCATTTCCATTCTCCAATACCTATTTCAAATGAGTCTCCTCTGTGAAGACTTTCTTGATTCCCTCACTAGAAATAATTTGAGTCACCAAAACTCCTTGATCCTTATTTAATGGTTATTTATTTACTTATTTTATATTGTCCTTCCAGAATGCATTTTTTGGACTCCAAATAATTATGAAGGCAACTCCAAATTCCTTATAAATACAGTTCTTATCAAGAGCCATTTAAAGCTTTCCTAAGAAAGACACAAATCATAAATTTCAGTAAAAAAATTACAGATGCAAATTTATAAGAAAAAAAGTTTTATGTTAGCAAGTGAAACCAAGGAAAACTTAAAAGAGGAACGAGCAACTGGAGAGAAAATATTTGCAAAAATAACAAAAAATAATCAAAGAGTTAACATCCCTAATAAAGAGTTTCTAAAAGCTAGTAAGAAAGAGATTTAAAACTCCTGTGCAACAATTTCCAGTAGACTGGAAATTCAGAGTGAAATACAGTTAATAAATATATGAAAAGACATTCTCATGTTGCTCAGGGATGTGCAGTTTAATGTAGTTTTCTACCTCTGTGGCTGACAAAAATGAGAATGACTGATAATTTTTCACACCACTGCTGGTGTGAGGAGAACACTGTCACATCTACGTGGCTGACTACACTTTAGTAAAACTTGGGCAAATAGATAGCACTTGTAGAAAATTTAAATATGCATATGCAATCTACTTCTAGGTATCGAACCTCTAGGAATATGTACATTTTCCAATGGTATACATATAAGTGTATTTGTTGGAGCCACATTTGTAAAAGAAGTATAGCTAAACTGGATATACAATAAAAGAAAAACATTAAATTTTGATACACCCATGACATGAAATATAATGCCACATGCAAAAGGTGTATATTCATGGATGTTCAGAATATAGAGTATGCAACTTGCAAATTGGTATTTAGATTATAAAAAAATAACTGCATTTTTAGTTTAAAAAAAGTGTATGTGTTTGTGTGTGTGTGTGTGTGTGTGTGTACACATACAGGCAGTATTTTTTTTTCCAAAAATTTCTCTCTAATATACATAAAGTGACATAGACACCAAAGAGTTTCCCTAGAAAATGGGGTAAGAGGCCTTTTACTTTTTACCTCATTGATTTCTGTATAAATTAGATTTATTTTAACAAACTAGTATGTATTCTATAACTTTAAAAACATTAGTAAACATAAAGAAAAATAAAAACCTTCCTCTTCAGTGGCTGATACTTGAGAGGGATAAGCCTAACGTACCTACTGGTAATGTTCTAGGTTCTCTGAGTTTTATTTCAAGTTACATTACAGTATAGCTACACATATGGTAAGATTAATCTAGCTTTCTGAAGAAAAAGTGTCACAGAACTATACTTTAACATCATACTTTTAACTTTTATTGAGAATGAATAGTAAAAAAATAAAATAACCACATGAAATTCTGCTGAAAAGAAAAGCTTTATTGGTCCCTACACTAGGTAAAGTTTCTCTGCTAAATGCTCTCGGTACCTTGGACTTCTTAACATTTATCATAATTATAATGAAACATTTGTTTAGTTAGTTGTTCTAACTAATATTTGTCTTCCCTGACAAAGTGTAAGTCCCATGAGGGTAGAGTTTCTGTGTCCTGCACATCAAAGGCATTCAGTAAATATTTGTTGAACAAATGAATGCATTTTCTATAAAATATCTATTGAAAAGAAAATCAAGATGGGAGTCCCTTAGAGGTTTATTTAGAGGGAAAATGAGTTTCTTCTGAATTCATATGCTTCTTTTGCTAAAAAAGGGTGAATAAAATAACCCTTCTTTGGTTTTGTTTGGTTCTTGGCTGCTTGAATAGTTCTGAGTATGCTACATTTTCAAATGTAATCAGCTTCCTTTGCCTAAGATGATTGGACTACAATTAGATTATAAGGCTCTTTTTGGGCAGTGATGGTGTTTTCTATTTGCCCTGTTTGTTCAAGTAACAAGTACTGAAAATATTATTTATATATGTACATATTTTATATACACACACACATACATATTTAGTGAATAAAAGAAACCACAGTCAAAATAACTCATCTGTATACAATGTAAGAAAGTTTTCTGTCACAACATACTGTATGAAATGTTTGTTTTTTGTTTCTATTGTATCATAATTGTCTGAAATTATGCCGAAAATTCACTATCTAAACTTGTTTTTCAGGTAATATTGAACTATTCTTTTACATATTTCTCTGTATCTTTGGGATGAAGGTAACTTGCACATAATTAGCACTAGAATGTTTTTGAAAAATGCTGTTAATAATGACAGCTAAAACTCACATTTAAGTGCTTAATAGGTACCAGGCAATGTGCTAATTCTTTACATGTATTATCTCATTTAATTTTCAAAACCTGTAAGATAAGCACTTCTGTATTCACCATCTGATATATGAGTATATTGAGGCTTAGCAAGTTCAAGGGATTTCCTCAGGGTATACAGTGTTAAGCAGTGGAGACAGTATCTGACCTTAGACTTGGAGCCCTTCCCACTGCATGTGCTGTGTGTGCTTCTCTCACAAACACTGCCTCACCACCTGAGCCCCTGAACAACTCCGTGCAAGGTAGACAAGGCAGAGCCAAGATCACTGTCTCCTCCTTAATGAAAAACAACCATGGCTCAAACTCAAGTCATCTCATCTTGGTCAAGTGCCTTTTCTCCCACAACATGCTAATGGCAGGAATTATGAGACAAAATGATATGGTCTTGTTTTAAAATTTCTTATGTTTTTATCCTTTTACTTTTTACAATCTTGTTCAGGATAGGACTTCATAGATAACTATTACATAATTATATTAATTAGACCAGGGTAAAGAATTTTATTTCTGATTTGGCCTATGAAGTGATGGAATGCACCAAGTACTCAAAATTCACTTAAGTGACATCAATTTGGCACAATAAATCCATTTTTATGCATAGAGTACTAAAGATGAATGAGATAGAAAATCTTGGAAGTGATGAATGAAAAGTTACACTAATGTATATTAAACAGAGCTACATATATTACATTTTCAGAAAGGAAATAAGGAGCTTAAATCCAATCCATGATATTGAAGTTCTTGTGAGAAGTGAAACAATACACAGCTAAGAAACATCCACAACATTACCTTTGGGTATCTTCTCTTTTGGCTGAGAGATAACAAGTGTCACGTCTTCAGGTGCATTTTGCAAAATTTCAATTGCAGCATGGTGGCTGACCCCCTCGAGACTAACACTATTCACAGATATCAAACGGTCTCCTGTAAAAATAGACAATCCAGTATTTTCAAAAACAAAAAGAAATTCATACTAAGTCTTAGATATGTCACTGCCCGACATTATTTTTCATTATTTTTGTTTTGCCCGAGTTCTACTTTTGCCATCTATGCAAATTCATGCCTGTCAGTTAAGTACTTAGGAAATTATCTAGATGTAAAGTACCTGGCTTTAAGCATCCATCCAAGTCAGCTGGTCCTCCAGGGGTGATTGAACTAATAAATACACCTAGATCCAGTCTTCCCATCTTCTCCCCACCAATAATTTGAAATCCTGTGAAACAACACATTTAAGAAAGATCTTCATGACACTGTTGCTTTCAGTGATTAATGAGCAGTCTGTCCAATGCATGTAAGTGTAGAGATTCTTATATCAGATATGATAAATAGGTAACACATGTGAAATGGGACTGTTAAATTCAGTGGAAGTTTTGCTTGTAAGTATTTCATCTTTCACATTTCCTGACTGGGTGGGTGGGGTGAAGGGCCTGTGGGTGGGCAACCAGTATCTTGATCCGTAGTGGGCTGGTGCCTCAATGCCAATATTATACTATACACTTTTTCTCTTTGAATTCTTACATCCCTTTAAGAATCTCAGTGACTAGGGCGCCTGGGTGCTTCAGTCGTTAAGCATCTGCCTTTGGTTCAGGTCATGATCCCAGGGTCCTAGGATCGAGCCCCGCATCGGGCTCCCTGCTCCGCGGGAAGCCTGCTTCTCCCTCTCCCCCTCCCCACTCTCATGTGCTCTCTCTCATTCTCTCTCTCTCAAATAAATAAATAAAATCTTTAAAAAAAAAAAAAAGAAAACAATAAACTAAGCTGCATGAACTAAGCTACTTGAACAGGAGAGGGTTTTGATATCAAGGTTCTGAAAATAAAATTATGCTTTAATCCCATGTATTTTAAAAGACCGTAGAATAACATAAAAAAAGAGAAAAATCTGGGAAAGGAGAATGAAGGAAATAGGGAGAGATGGTAAGAAGAGCAGAACAAATGTTAGAGAAGGGTAGAGGAAAGTAAGTTGACATTCTAATGTTTTAGTGAGGCATACTTTACTCCAGTAAACTTCAATGGCATTATAAAGAAATTCTCATCAACAAAAGAAACTGAAAGAATAATAACCAGAAAAGAATGAAAAAACACATTTAAAGGAGTGATAGAAAAAATAAAGAATATCAGGCAGTGAGATAAAGTGAGTACGCTAATTTTATTTTCATAATCAGATAAAATAATACAGGCTTGGCTATTTTTTCTCCTTATTTTTTTGACTAATTCAGAGGTACTAACATTTGGCAATCAAATAAGGATTTAAAATAAAAGACAAAACAATGACTATATACCACCACCATCATTTATAAAGTAAAGGACATTTATGTCCCTAAAAATGAGATAAATGGAATCTCAGAATAAAGAGTACTTTTGTATTAGGAACACTTTAGCCTTTTGAAAAACTCAGTACTACATCATTCTTAATTTTCTTATTTTACAACCAAGTAGTGGTATGCCTAAGGGCTTGCAAAATTTTTAAGAAAGACCACTATTTGGGAACTATGAGGTGAATTTCTGCCTAAGGTTAGCCTGACAAATCCATAAAATTAAACCAAAATAAGGAAAATGTTAAGAGTCAAGGTTTCACGTGGATTTAAAGTCATTCTCAGCAATTATTTATATTTATTTCTTCCCTTGAAAATTTCATTTGAATTTTGCACTATTAGGTGGCCATAATTTGTTTTATGCATGACTTCATTATCCAAGGTCTTTCAAACTCTAAGAGGTACAAATATGTGTCTTAAAAAAAAATTGGTATAGTGCTCCATCAGATTATTTACAGTTGACAAGAGTAATGAGACTCAGGTGTGAATTATGATCCAATATATAAAAATTAAATTTTGAGTAAGTCAGTAAGAAGTTAAAGTGAGATGACAGTCTCTCAAGGCCTGACCTTCAGTGACAAAGCTGTAGTCTTTGACATGAGTCATTTTCTTCATTTTTTCTGGGGCTTGACCTTGGGCATCTGGATCTGGAAGGGTGCACTGTGGGGTCATGGGGACATGTTCTTTGGATGCTGGAGACTGCCCCTTTTCTAGTAACAGATGAACCACCTGGACAAATGGAATAGCACTTCATTAAGAGGAATTATAAGAAAGTAGATAAGTTTTTAGGACTTTGTAGAGTTGATGGTATAAAATCATTTACAGTAATTACTTGGTCCACCAAAATACAGGTAAAGGAAGAAAAAAATAAAATAACAAAGCAAGGGATTGAAAATTTCAAAATGAAGGGTTTTTTTTGGTCTCTCCCTCTGCCCCTCCCTTGCTTTCTCTCTCTTAAAAAAAAATTTCTCTTCTAGAATATAAACATATTATAGGAAATTTGGGCACTAGAATAAAATCACCACTATAATACAGACCATTATAAATAAATTGGTAAAGTTCAGAAAATAATTTAGCCTTTGAGCTGAAAAATGACTAGAAGTGAAAATCACTTAGATATTTGTAGATATTTACAAAAAATTTTAAAAATTCAATCTCCATCCTTTCTCCTGTCAGATCTGGTAATATTAGGGCAAAATGTGATATAGAAAGCCAAGTTTCCTCAGTGAAAAACCTGTCATAATCCTTGCTTGCCAATTTGAAGGAAAAGAAAATACCAGAACATTTACGTCAGTCAGGCTTGGTTTCTTGACTAACAAATTTGGAGACCTCAGTGAGACAGATATTATTCACACATTATTATGTTCTTCTAACATATCTTAAAAGGTTGGTATAATGAGCTGTTATTACCTGTCCTGTATTTCTCAGTGTTTCCACAGCTTGCTTATGGGTAGCTCCTTCCAGACTAACTCCGTTGACAGCAAGGACACGATCACCTATAAAATTAAGCAGTAATTTTGGAAAAAAGCAAATGATAAGATAAAGATTCTATATGTTTTTTAATATCTTGTGGTATTGTTTTATATTAATTTTTTTTTTAAGATTTTATTTATTTATTTGAGACAGAGAGAATGAGAGACAGAGAGCATGAGAGGGAGGAGGGTCA